CATCAACCCGAGTCAGCCCTCGGGCCTAAACGGGCTATGAGCTTAAATTTTTTAGACCCGGCCCGTCCCATATTTTAAAGAAAATGGGCTGGCCCGAGAGGCCAAGCCCATTTTGACAGGTCTACTAAACATCCAATAAATGGTTAAAACATGTGTTTTTTTTTATATTCCTATCTCTTAAAATAAGAAAAAAATCTTACTATTTAAAATATTTTTCAATTATTAAAAAATTTTAAATAAATTTTTATTATATTTGATCAAATTCATATATTTTTATTTTAAATCAAATAGTTTTTATAATTAATAATTAACTAACAATTGATGGTAAAACATAACTTGTTATTTATATCACGCAGTGTTGATATGTGACATGATTATTTATTAACATGATATTTTCACTTTCTACATTAATATTATTATGTTATGGTGGATGATAGTGCATATTTTCATCCTTCATATTAATGTCACTATATTATAGTGGATGATAATATAATATGATTATATGTTTACATGGTATTTTCACATTTCATATTAATGTTAAAATGATTTAAATAAAATATCATTTTGATTAATTACAATTAATGATATCATAATCATATCACAAGTCAAATTTAAATTCAACCTCATGCAACTTTAAACTTTAAAAATAAAATGTCATAAGTAAGCCTGTAAATTACGGATCCACGTTTTTAATATAAAAAACATATCTAATAGCTGGTAAAATATTTATGTTTATATATCTAATACTTATTTCATATATTATTGATGTGAAATCCATAATAAATTATAAAGATTTATTTGATTCATAATAAAAATATATATTTGATTGGACGTAGTAAAATATTAAAAATTTATTTAAAATTTCTAAGGGTAAAAATGGTGTTATGAAAACAAAAGAGAGATTTGCCTAACCAATTTGATAGGTGAAGTACATTATGCAATGGAGCCCATGGGATAAGTGCTTTTCTTCTCTCTTTTTTTCCCATAATAGGAAAGAAATAAAAATCATGTCTAGGGTTTTGTTTTGAATGTTGACGTAATTACAAACTATTATTCATCATAAATAATTATATTTATGTTTTCTATTGATTTATTATTTTTGTTTTTGTGAGAAATCATTTATTTTAATCGTCATGATATTAGTTTAGACATAGAAATTAGATTATATAGAATCCACGGATAATAATGTAATAAAATTTTTCTAATTTAAGCATAAATAAAAGTACATCAAGAAATTAATGTTTAAATATTATAAATTCAGTTTTGATTCAATGACAAGAAAAGATTGTTAGGCATATCCCTTCAAAAGAATGGAATTCAAGTCACTTTGCCTTGTTTAATAAGTAAATTAAAAATGAGTAAAGGTGGTTATGGAATATAGAGAAAGGAATAATATTTGGAAAAAAATTTAAAATAAGATTTTATTTTTCTATTGCCTTCATTTGAATGTCTATTTTTTTATTTTGAATAAGATATACCCTTATAATTAACACATGATTAATTGTTTTTAGTCAAAATGCTTCTTGTAATCTTATATTTGCATTGCGTAATGGTAAATGTTTCATGATTATATCATCATACTATATTAATATATTAACCTAACATGTAATCAGCACGTGACTTAAAATAATAAGTAGTATTTTGATTGATAATAATTAATCATAAATACTTATTAGATTTAAAATGAAAACATGAAAATTTAATTAAATATAATAAAAAATAAAAAATTATTTATTTTTTAATAATTGAAATATTTTTTGAAGTAATAGTGTTGAAACATACATGTCTTTGTTGTACATTAATAAAATTAATCATTGAAAGTAGAAGAAATATATAATTTTACCAGGGAGCTCATGGTCAATTATGGCAACATTGCCCTGCCACCCGACAAGTCAAAGATGTTGAGAAAAGAGAGGAACAACCAGATGATCTTAAAAACATAGTCAGACGTTAACAACACAACATCACCTTTTTTTTAACTATTTTCCTTTTTCGAACTATATATTCTAATTAATTCATCATATTTAGACACGTAATTAGTAGCTTTTACCAAATTATAATAAACTGTAAAATTTTAAAGAAAATCAAAATACATGAATTATGAGGGGAATTTTTTAATTTTTTTGTGATTTTTCCTCTGACTTTTTAACCAAAAGCCACAAATTCTTCTAAATTATATTGAAAAAGAATATATAGATAAAAAAAGAAAAAGAAAAAGAAAAAGAATCAAGAATAGATGAAAAAAAATAAAATTCCTAAAACCTTTTTTATTACAAAAGACTGTAGTCTTCATATAATCAAAAGATCCACACACTTTTTTTTTATAGTTTTTTTATTTAATTTCTTTTTTTTATATGTTTATTATTATTTAAAATTTTTATTTGTTAGCTTTGAGTATTTAAAATTATAATGTGAATAATTTTGATTTAAATTATTATGTAAAAAATAAAAAATATTTTTATCATATTTTTTCTTTTTCTTCTCTTTTTTCTTCCCTCCGTTTATTTATAGAATGAAATTTCGAGTATTGAAATTTGATAAGATAGAAAAAGTAATTATAAAAGAAAATTAATGATATTAAGGATGGAAAATGAAAAAATGAAAAAACAAATGCAATATGGATGTCATTAGACTAAAAATGTATAGATATTATTAATGATATGAAAAAGTCAATAAATATTTAAAAATAAGTTTTTTGTTGTTAGAATTAAAAAAAATAGAAAAACATAGTAAATGTTGATATCTTACTAAATAATAAAACAATTTCACAAATTCCACCTCAAGGTATGAAATTTAGTATCAGCCTTCCATATGATTTTAAATTTACCAACATGCTCACAATTTAGCATGTTCCTTGTTATTAATATTATTATTTAAAATAGTTAGTAGTATTATTATTTGACATTTAAACTTTGAATGAATTAGATTTAGTCTACTAAGTGGGGAGACAACTTTGACTCAGTATGCTATGAATTAATACAGATTATTTTTATATTATGTAAAATACAAATCCAAATATTTATTTATATGACCCAGTAATTAGGTCATAAACAACTTGTAAAAATTTGAATTAAATTAAATAAAAAAACAAAAAACTGGGTCCATCCATTTATCTTTTTTAGGTGGCAGTAAGCTGTAACCTGCAAGGAAACTTCTTTCTTTTTTTAGTACCCTAACGACCTTAACCCGACGACCAATTAGTCCCTTCTTCACTGTCAGATCTTTGTAATCCCTCCTTCATCAACCGTCCGATCATTATAATCTCTCCTAATCCACCAAGTCAAATTCCAGCCCCCGATATAAACCCAAATTCAACACAACCCCACTTCCCAAAAATTTCCATTCTTTCACAAATTCGGAGACAATTCTTTTTCTTCTTCTTTTCTTTTTACACATTCAAATCAAGTTCGCTCATCATGAGATTCAAGAAAGGTGGCAAAGTTGAGGTATTGACCAAGGAGGAGGTCCCAACCGGCGCGTGGCGCTGCGCCGAGATTATCTCCGGCAACGGTCATACTTACAGCGTCAAGTACGGTTGGTTTCCGTACACTGGCGAGGCGGCAGCGGTTGAGAGAGTCCCTCGGAAAGTGATTAGGCCTTGCCCTCCTCCGGTAAACGGGACCGGTGATTGGATTTCTGGCGATGTCGTAGAGGTCTTCGACGAGTTGTGTTGGAAACCGGCGGTGATAGTTAGGGTTTTCAGTGAAAACAACTTTTCTGTTAGGATTCTTGGATCGAATAGCGAACTCAATGCACATAAATCTCGATTGCGTGTTCGACAATCTTGGGAAGATGGCAACTGGTACCTCGTTGGAAAAGTAAATTTTTTTTTAAACTCCTTTTCGTTTCTTTTACATTAATTTTAACTTTTTCTTTTTCCTTTATAAGGTATTGATTCTTACCCTATTTGTTATTTTCGACAGGGTTCGTCAAATTTCACCGGACCGCCGAGGAGAAAAAGATCTTTGCCTGGCTTTTCGGATGTTGGTGGGCAGAAGAAGAGGATCACTGAAAAAGGTAGTATTGGTGTTCAAAGAATAATTATTCGGCTTCCTTCGCCGGCCTCTGAAAAGGTAGATGCATTTGTTTCTCCCAAAAATATACTGGGTGAAATATGTAGGCCGCCTTCTTGTAATAGAATTGATGATACCATGAGTTGCGCGTCGTCTGTTGGTAGTTGTAGTGGTTTAGGGAACAATGATCATAGCTTTTCTCCTAGTTTTGTAACAAACGGTTGTAAACACTTGGAGGATTATTGTAGTGACGCAGACTCGTATTCTGAGCGGAGGTGTGGAGGAGAAGGATGTTCGGTTTCCTCTAGTGTGGAATTGGGAACAGATTATCATAGGTCGGAGCTACAGGCCTATCAGCAAGCTCTTGGAGCATTGCATGCTTCTGGGCCTTTGACTTGGGAAGAAGAAGAAAAGGTGACCAATCTCCGTTGTGTATTTAATATTTCAAATGATGAACATTTGAGGGAGTTAAGAAAGTTGAGACATGATGACAACAGGCATTTTATTGGTGGTTACTAGATTTAATGAATTTAAATGAATTACTTTTCTATTTGGTTATACAATAGTGTTATATTGTAAAGATACTTGAAATTTTAAATTTTGTAATTGTTTTACTAGTTTCTTCACCTGTCTCCATGATGGAAGTTTCTTTTTTTTTTAAATATGATTTTCCTTTTCCTTTCCTTTCATTTTCACTTCTAACCTTTTGCAGATGTAGCATATTGTTGGGTGGATATGCATCATAAATTTCAGCACAGTAAAAATCTACTTTCCCTGAGTGGAATTGTTGAGTAACATTAAAATGAAAAGCTATGAATTACGTTTTTAGTTACTGGGAAGGATGCCCTAAAATGAGTCTGACCTCTTACTGATTCAAGTGCCTGAAATACTAAAATGTATTGCCTGTTTTTCAACATATTTGTTTTCAAAGTTTTTGTCCTCTAAGATTACTTTGAGCTTGCTCATGTTATTTATCAAAGGATAAAAAATGACCTTGTTCGTTCATGCTAACTAACTGGGGTCTTGTAAGTTGTGATGTGGTCCTGGCTGGTTTATGGATTCTAGCTGGTGTTTTATATATTTGTAGTTTAATGCATGTGAAACTGTTCTACATCATCTCATGATGATGGTTATGATTGTTATACTTGCTTTATTTCAGCAGTATATGGATTAATGTTGAGGAATATCTTGATGCTTTCTCAGAAATCTCATGGTCAATGTTGGAGGCACCCATACCTTGCTTCTAAAGCCATGATGGGGTTGAGTTTTGTCATCTTTGCAGTTGACCAGGGGGCAATATCCATGGTTTTTTCCTAAAGGAACTCTTAAGCCCTGCTGTTGGTATGAGTTTTTTCAAAATTTGATTTATATATGGAGATGCTGGTATTTGTCATTGTATCTCTTGTTGCAGATTAAAACAAGATAATCTTAAAAGATGCCCTACAGTTTTAACATGTAAATTAATTCTTCTTCTTCTTTTTTTTAAACAATACATGAAAATTTAAGTTATAATGCAGGTTGGATGTATAGTAAATCTCTCTCTCTCTCTCTCTCTCTCATTCAAAATCTTCTAACCTTAAATGCTGGAATGTTGACAAGAATATGTTACCATCTCTTAACTGTGCAAATACAATTTTGGCCTCTTGGGGGTTGCATTTGATCTTACTGTCTCTATGTGTAAACAAGTTTTTACATTCTGATGATTTGATGATATTTTTCAAGTTAACTACCTATGGTTACATACTATGATCAAATGGTGTTCTAACTTCATAGGTGGTTGTTTGATTTTGTTAGATGGGTACTTGTAAGTCCCTTTGATGAACTCCAAGTTCGAAAATCTTTCCCTGCTCATGAGTGTAATGTGCTGTAAGGGTTTTATTTTTTTTCCCTTGCATAATACTAAATGTTTTCATCTTTATGAATTTTGCATGACAAAAATCCATGATGTAGTTGACATGTACTTTTCCCCTAATAATGTACAGTGGATGAGAATCCATGCTGCGGGTAACATGAAGTTATCCCCTAATCATGTACAGTGGCTGATGCATTGAAAGACTTGTCGATGGGAAGAATGTCTGTTTATATATTCAGATATTGGATTCCTAAACATTCTTGTTGAACGCAGCAGCCATGGACTCAAAGAGGTGATTTGGTTCATATCTTTTAATATCGGCTATGTACTTCCAATTGGTAAGATTTTTTTGCAATTTGCATTGGCATTTTCTGTGAGACTAGGTGGTGGTAATTTACGGTTGGCCAACATTTTAGTATTGGGTAGGGCTGTGCAAAAGCAAACCAAGAAAATCGACAATAACTGAGGTGTTCTGGTTGGTTTGATTCGGTTTTTGACAGTAATTTAGTTTATCTGGTTCGTTTTTCTCCATCAGACACTGAAAAATCCAAATCAACCATTCTGTTAAAGAAGCCCCCAAAAATAGGCCAGATTTTGGAATTGTTTAGTGGATGTAGCTCAAAAATATTGCATTACAAATAAATGATTAAATTCAACTCAATTTATTGTTTAAATCAAAAGGCCCAACCAAAACAAAATTTCAAATCTAATTCAATTTGCTTCTGTAATTAAAAAATGTATAAAATTAAGTTGGGAAAACCAAAAGCAAAATGTGAAAGAATCCTAACCCTAAGCCACGTTTTATTTTTCATCTTCTCTCTAAATCCCCTCTCTCTAGTTGCTGCTCACTGCCCTCTCGGTCAGCCCTCGTCCTTTTCCAGAAAGCCGTTACACACCTCCTAGCTTGGATTTCTGTGGGTTGTCCTCCTCACACTGTTGCGTTGCATTGTCAATGTCTTCCCCCATGTGCCATGGGATTTTCCTCCATACCAGCCTTCCTCAAATGAACACCACGGTCTTCAAGGTCCATTCTTAACTTTACTTTTTAAAAACTATTTTAGAATTTGTTAACACCCTTTGTTCAAACGGTTGGAATTTCTTCATTTATTTTTAGATTAAATTCACTTATACCTTTTATGGTTATAACTTTTTCTAAATGACAGTTTAGTGTTTTTTTATTTCAATTAACACCTTTTGCTTAGTAAAAAATACCAAAATACTTTTAATTCAAAGTTAGTCTATTTGTTCATTTAAAAGAGTATTTTTGTAATTTTAGTAGATAAAATTAATAACTTAATCCCTTGTGGAAATAGAAGTTATCCATAAGGTGCTAAATGGGTAAAAGAAATCACACGGTGTTATGTTGAAAAGGTTGGAAGCCACAAGGAGTATAGGTGGAGATAGAGTCTACCTTTATTTTTAGGAGAAAGTTTTAGTTCTCTATCTCACACATGTAGTTTATAAATTTTTGCCAATCGTATATTATGATGTTCATTTGTTTTTGATTGGAGGATTGTTTTCTTGTACGAAATGTGTGGCTGCTAAACTTCAGTTTCATTTTTCTAAAAAGCTAGATTCTTTGGTAGAAAAAAGAGAGAGATATGTTAAGTGTATATATATATATATATATATTTTAATCTGGTTTCTGCTACTGCTACTAGATTCTAATGCTTATTTCTCTCATAATAGGTTTGTATTTTTCAAAACTTGTTGCCACTGCTTGCTCAAAATATTAGATTGGAAACGCTGATTGGATTTGGTTATGTTTCTTTTAGTGATTTCAATAGTTTTTTATTTTTAATTTGCCGTTTAACATGTTCTGTTTGGTCCTGGATTTAAATAGTTGGTCGTGTTCAACCGCATTAAGCAATCCCCTTCATTGCCTTTGCCCAAGACCAACAGTGCTTGTGACCTTTCATTTTGTTGACTATGAATGAAAGATGAAGCTTTTTTCTGTTTTCATTATAAGTTCATATTTCCTCATGTCTTTTTTTTTTTCCTTAATATTTGAGGAAGTGGAGGGTGGAAACAATTTCACCAGTAACAACCATTCCACTGAATATGGAATTTTGTTTTGCATTTTTCGATTTTAGTATTATATCATGGAATTTGGATTATAGTTGAAGTATATGCTCCCATACAGTTATTTTGGATTGAACTTGCTTTGTGGTAGGCTGATAAGGTTTGGCTCATGTGGACCGTATGTGGTGACTTGTTGTCATTGTAAGTTTGTTGCTTTATCGAGACTTGATATTTCTTTCTTGTTTGTCCTTTTGTTTGGATAGTTTTTAAATTGTGGTGTCTGTTGATGAATTGATGTGAAATTCTTGTGGTGTTTGTTGTTGGACAGCTTAGGAATTTGTAGTCTTTGTCAAGGAACAGCTTTGCTTTTCTTTTCTTTTCTTTTGTCATGTTTGGTCGAGCTCGGGAGTTGGCTGGCTTCAAGGGAAGAGGGGATCCTGCGCAAGATACTACTAGTCAGCCCTGCCATTGTTAAAGATAGTACTGTCTTCCTCTTTTATTAATATTAATATTATTATTATTATTATTATTATTATTGTTTTTACATTTATACTACATATTACTTGATGTGTGTTACATCTATTTTGATCTTTTGGCAGTGCAAAGGGCAAGTTCCCTTGTGTCTTCAATCAAATGCTGTTGACAGAGCTTGATACTAATATCTATCAATTATTTTGTTATTTGTAACATTCAATGTTAGATTAAACGATAATCTCACTTTTTACTCAATACTTTATGTAATAGTGCCCAACTATACTTTATGTAATATTTATTTATTTATTTATTCTTTAAAATAAGAAGTGAAAATGTAATTTTGAACTTTGACTCGGTTTTACTACTAAATTGTGTATTTCCTATATACAATTTTTAAATATAGTTATATAAATAGCTATATTAAAAAACAAGTCCAACTTCTAAAAATAATTCAAAAAAAAAAGGGGAAAAAGGGGAATATTTGTTTGTTGGTTCTAAGTTGTAACCTGCAAGGAAACTACTTCTTTCGTAGCCTAATGCCCAAGCACTCTCTTCCTAACCGTCGGATCATTGTAATTCCTCCTTCGTCATAAACTCAACTAGCCCCCTTATGTGTACCCAAATTCAACGCTTTTTCCCAAAATTTTCCTTTCTTTCTCAAAATTCACTTCATCGATTCTTGCAGCTCTGCTCTTCCTCTATCCTTTTATTTTTTTAGAAACTGATTCAAATCAAAGTCGCCTATCATGAGATTCAAGAAAGGTTGCAAAGTTGAGGTATTTACCAAGAAGGACGTTCCAACCGGTGCGTGGCGCTGCGCCGAGATTATCTCCGGCAACGGCCACACTTACAGCGTCAGGTACGGTTGGTTTCCGATTACCGCCGAGCCTGCTGCGGTGGACAGAGTCCCTCGGAAAGCGATTAGGCCTTGCCCTCCTCCGGTGAACGGGACTGATGATTGGGTTTCTGGGGATGTTGTGGAGGTGTTCGACGAATTGTGTTGGAAAACGGCGGTGATTGTTAGGGTTCTCGGTGGAAACAACTTTTCTGTTAGGATTCTTGGATCGAATAGCGAACTCAAAGCACATAAATCCCGGTTGCGTGTTCGACAATCTTGGGAAGATGGCAACTGGTTCCTCGTTGGAAAGGTATTTTTTCTAATCTTTTCATTTAAAATAAAATTTCATATTTGTTTCTTTGTTTCAAAATTTTTCCCCTTTTTGTTTCTTTTATGAGATGTTATTGATCCTAACCTTAATCATTGTTTTGTGAGATGTTATTGGTCCTAACCTTAATCATTGTTTTTGACGAACAGGGTTCTTCAAATTCATCTGGACCGCCAAAGAGAAAAAGATCGCTGCTTGGCTTCCAGGATGTTGGTGGATTGAAGAAGAGGGTGATTGAAAAAGGTAGTATTGGTGGTCCAAGACTAGTAATTCGGCTTCCTTCGCCAGCCTCTGAAAAGGTAGATATATTTGTTTCCCCCAAAAGTATAGTGGGTGAAAGATATATGCCTTCTTCCTTCCATAGAATTGATGATACCATGAGTTGCAGGTCCTCTGTGGGTAGTTGTAGTGGTTTAGGGAAAAATGGTCGTAACTTGTCTCCTACTTCTGTAGCAAACGGTTGTGAAAACTTAGAGGAATATTGTAGTGATGCTGACTCATATTCTGAATGGAGATGTAGAGAAGGAGGAAGTTCTGTTTCCACTAGCATAGAATTGGGAATGGATTTCCACAGCTCGGCGCTGCATGCTGATCAGCAAGCTCTTAGGGCACGGCACACTTATGGGCCGTTGACTTGGGAAGAAGAAGGAAAGGTGACCAATCTACGCCGTACGCTTAATAATTCAAATGATGAACATTTGAAGGAGCTAAGAAAGTTGAGACATGAGGATAATAGCCTTTTTGTTAATTGTGTTTAAATTTAATGAATTACTTTTCTATTTGGTTATGCAATAATGTTATATCTTAGTGCAATGGTGCAGATATGTAAAGTTACTAGATAGTTAATTTTAGTAAATGGTTTATTTTTTAATGTCCTGTCCTCATGCTAGAAGTTTTCATTGTTTTTCATTTTTTCCCTCCCTTGCCAATTTTATAGTGGTATGTTATTAGTTGGATATGAATACTAAGTTTCAGCAGAGTAGTGAGGTACTTTGTCTGTGGGACATTATTGAGTAATAGCATTTAAATGCAAAGATGTAAATACATTTTAGTGACTGGGAAGGATATCCAATAAGGAATGCCACTGTATAAATATTCAAGTTGAAGTAATAATGGGTATAGCTTGGTTACTCAGCAATATTTAAGTTTCAACAGTTTTTGTTTCTAAATTTACTTCTACATGGTGCCGGCTGGTTTATGCATTTTAGTTGGAATTGTACGCATTTGCAGTTTTATATATATGTCGTAAATCATCTCATGATGGTGGGTATGAATATTATACTTGTTTCATTTCTGCAGTATATGGAATTTATGTTGAGGAATGTCTTGATGCTTTCTCAGAAAATCTCATGGCCAATGTTGGAGGCATCCATACCTTGCTTCTAAAGCCATGATGGAGTTAAGTTTGTCATCTCTTGCAGTTGACCAAGGGGCAACATTCATGGTTTATTCCCTAAGGGATCCCTTAAGCCTTGCTGTTGGTATGACTTTTTTTTTTTTAAATGTTTCAAATTTGATTTATCTATGAAAATGCTGGTATAGGTCATTCTACCTCTTGTTGCAGATAAATCAAGATTAACTAAAAGGTGCCCTTCATTGTTAGTATGTAAATTGATAGGTTGCAGTTGCACTTATAGAAAGAGAATTCTTTTTTTTTTTGGGGTCAATACAAGAGAATTCAATTTGTAATAGCTGGAAAATGTTGTTATCTCTGGATTGTGCATATCCAATAATGGAACATTTTAGGCTGGATAATTAATAAATGGCTCTGAACCTTGCTCCACATCTTCTCTTTTTCTCTCTATGCAAAGACTTCTCACATTAAATGCTTGAGTATTGACAAGAATATGTTTTTATCCTTGAACCGAATATTTGGCCTTCTAGGGCTGCATTCTAACTCTGTGATTCTCTGGAAAAACAAGTTCATGCATTCTGATTATTGATGGTACTGGTCAAGTTAAAATCTATATGAACATACTATGACCAAATGATGTTCTAACTTCATAGGTGGTTGTTGGATTTTGTTAGATGGGTACTTCTAAGACCCTTCAATGAACTCTAAGTTTGAAAATCTTCATGTTCATGAGAGTGATGTGCTGTAAGAGAAACACTTTTCTTGCATAATATAATAGTATATATATATATATATATATATTCTTTTTCATGTATTCTGCATGACAAAAAACCCATGCTGTCCTTTACCCCTAATCATGTTCAGTGGGTGAGAGTCTGTGCTGCGGGTAACATGTTCTTTTCCTCCAATCTTGTACCATGGGTGATGTGTGGAGAGGCTTGCATGGATTGAAGTTTGACAACAAGAGTATTTGTTATATATTCTGATTTTGGATTCATAATCATTGTTGTTGAATTCAGTCATGGACTGAAAGAGTTGCTTCAGTTCATATCCTTTGGTATGAGGTGGGTTTCTTTCCAAATGGTAGTCTTGTTTGCTATTTACTATTTACTATTTACATGTGTCATGCCACCTTTGGCATGTTCTTTGAGACTGGGGAATGGTGGTTTAAGGTTTTACATCATTTTATTATTGGAACATTTTGGGATTTTGGATTTTAACTAGAGTGAATGTTAAAGTGATTGAATATATATATGTGTGTGTGTGTGTATATATATATATATACATGCACACACTTTAGTTGTGAAAATCCCTGATGCCATACTTGATTTAGTTCATAGATTTTCAACTGAAAGAGTTTTGATCAGAAATATCAAAAATTTTTTTATCTATTCTTGAAAAGTTTCTACTAACTGATTTCTTGAACAAAGTTGTCTAGCATCAGTGTTGTGCATTAAATGATTATGGTTCTATATTTTAAATGGCTATGCCTTAGACATTGATTATGCTATTCTCTTAATAAACTGTTTCAATTGCAATTTGTTGTTTAAATAAAATCCTGTTGGTTACAGTAGAACATTCTGTTAGCAATATTTAGCAGCACGAGGAGCAGGGTAGTCCAGGAGTAATGCTGATGATCTCCATAATACCCACTTCCTTTGTGAGTAAAAGCTGGAGGCTTGAGAATATTGATGGTTACCAATATCACCTGATTATTGCGAGTGATCCTTGCATGGAGATTGTAATTCTATAATTAGGCATTGATTTGTCTTTGAAAGATTTGGTAATAGAATAATGAATACATATATTCTCTAACTAGTCTATCTTGTGGAATCTAGTTGGTCCCATCTCAATGACCAAGGATGTTTGGCTACTCAGTGTTGGTGGGGGTACTGTAGTAATCGCCTCATTTCAAACTGTGCACTGCAGGGTGCACCACCATTGCCTAATTTGAGCAATTCAGCATTTTCCTTAAGAAAAACTTTAATAACAAAACCTATCAAAAAAAATGGTTTAATTAGAAAAACTTTATTTTATATTAACATCTTAATTTGGGCATTTACTTTTTTTTTTTTTAAAAAAAGGCTGAATTAGATTAATATCCAAGAAGCCATTTTGGCATTTGCCTTAGCCACATTCCCTTTACCTATCAATTACCAAAGGGGGCTAAGAGGTTGCCATTGGGAAAGCTAGATTTAAATTTACCTATCAATTACCAAGAGCCTAAGAGGTTAGCATTGCGAATACTAGATTTAAATTAGGTTTATGAATGGTTAAGGCAAATTCAAATAAATGTTTATGTTTTATTATATTTAATTAAATTTTTATATTTTTATTTTGAATCAAATAAGTATTTATGATTAATGATTGGTTAATTATTATTAATAAAAATGTCATACGACATATTAATGATTCATAGTAAATGATTATATGATATAATGATATAATTATATAATATTTATATTAATATTATCATGAATATTATATTATTAAGAGATGAGATGAGTTTTAGATTTATAAATAAAAAATTAATAGATATATATTTTTAAATTAAAAAAATAAAAATATGGTAATTGTCATTTTGATCAATCATAATTAATTAAATAACTAGAATTAAATAAAAGTATTATAACTTAAATGAATGCAACAAAAAAATTTGTTTAATTTTTTTTAATAATTAAGGAAGTTTTCTAAGATTAATCCTTTAAATTACTAAAGAGTAGAGGGAAAGGACGACGTGTCGTTTGAGACTGGGAGGATTATGAGCGGTTCATTGTTTCACCCGTAATCTGTGATACACGTGTCTCCTTCCTTTCTCTCGTTCCCTTGGTTTTTATCTCTTCTCAGTTCTGCAAGCAACACTGTCCACTCTCCTCCAAGAACCATGAGTATTGTTCTTGTTCTCTCTTCTCTCTCCTATATGTTGCACATCTATTTACGTTTCCATTATGAACTTTTCTTCTTTCCCATTTTGATCTCCACCTTCCTTCTTATTTACAGGTCTAGCCAAGAAGATCAGGACCGGCATTCAAGGTAGATTCATTCCTCTTTACAATTTTTGTTTGCCCGCCTTTTAATTTTATAATCTTTTTCTTTCTATGATTTCAAATTTTTAAAATTTTTGAATTGGAATCAGGATATGGAAAACTCAGCTTTCTTTCAAGGCTTGCTCGCCAAACTCACGATGCTAAGGTACTATTCTCATCATTTGCATCATTTTCCCTCTTTTTTTTTTTTAAAAAATTGAAGATTAATGTAATTGTTAGGCTTAATTATTGATGCATTATATAATTTTGCAGGGAATTGAAAATTATTGAGTGTGGTTTTGTCATGTATTTAATATAATTAGGAATGTGTGTACATTGTGCAAAAATTCAGTTAACAAAAGGGTGAATTCAATGGAATTTTTTCCAAACTAAAATGTTATCAAAACTAGAAATAAACTCCAAAAGAGAGTAGAATATTACTTTATGGAAAAATTGGCCCTTTTTTTTTTTTCATTTTTTCAAATTATCAATGAATTTTAAGGTGCTTTTGAACGAGTTAACACTTAAATGAAAACAAGAGCTGTCTAAGATTAGAACTCTAATGAACAAAACTCAGCTAACGGGCTTGAATGGTAAGTAAGGCTATATTTGGTCACCACTATTGCTGCTTGCTCTTTTTACTTCTGAAAGCAAAATGCAAAAAACAAAGTTGGATATTTAGGAGACAATGCTGTATTAATTTACTTATGTAACTTTTTCCTGTAGTAAGGATCTGTTATTTTGTTGCTTAATATTGGTGATTTAATATTCCATCTTGCTCACCTGAAATTTTTAGTTATTGGTTAATTAATTTTTTAGAATAACCGTAGTTGGGGGTTTTGATTGCTTGGGTTAACTAAGTCAGTGTTACCTGTTTAGTGCTTTGGTTTTGTAGACTTCAGTGTGTCAGAATGAGCAAGAAGTTTTGGAACTGGGTTTAATGCTCAGCATATAATAGGAAAAAATATGAAGCAGTTTAGAAAGACAGGGTGGGACTAGCACACAGTTCTAAACACAAAAAATATGAATAAAAAAGAAAAAGAAATAAATTTTGTTTCTGCGAAGATGAAAATTTTATGAATGTTTTCTACTCTGGGATGAAACTTTACTCTCGTTTTACATAGAAGTAAAATACTTTTGGCAGACTCTTCCTGCAGTGCCCTACCAAATCATGAAGCAGGATCGAGATAGACTAGGATCTGCTGGCAATAATTCTTTGAGATGGCTTGCACTCTTTGGGACAGGTGTCTCAGGGCTTTTGGGTTGTGCCACAATAGCTTATTCTGATGAGGCTGAACATGGTTTGGGGGTTCCTAACTATCCTTGGCCTCATGAAGGCATACTCAGCTCATATGACCATGCTTCGTAAGTTGATTTTTCATTTCTGCTAATATATTATTGAATTGACTTGCTTCCCCACCCCTCCCCCCAAAATGTGTTTGCAGCAAAAATTAATTGTTGGTGTTCTCGGAGAAAGTTCTAGTGGGGTTTGGTTTCCTGGCAGATTTTTAGAAATGCTTTACAGTCTTGATTAAGTGCTATAATCTAATCATTGTGATGTAAACGTATGTTACTGATTGCTGAATGCTCACTATTTTTCTTTATGATTTGATTAATATGGATTAATTATACGTAAGCAGGATCCGTCGGGGCCACCAGGTCTACCAACAAGTTTGTGCATCTTGCCATTCAATGTCTCTAATCTCATATAGAGATCTTGTTGGTGTGGCATACACTGAAGAAGAAACAAAGGCTATGGCAGCTGAAATTGAAGTAGTTGATGGGCCTAATGACGAGGGTGAGATGTTCACCCGGCCTGGTAAGCTAAGTGATCGTTTTCCGCAGCCATATGCAAATGAACAGGCAGCTAGGTTTGCCAATGGAGGTGCATATCCTCCAGACTTAAGCCTTATCACCAAGGTATCTCTAATATCTTGATTTCATGAAAATGGCATTAAAGTTCCAGTTAAAATTCCAATATCTAACTCGTTGTCCTTTCAGGCCCGTCATAATGGCCAGAACTATGTATTTGCTCTTCTAACGGGTTACCATGATCCTCCTGCTGGTGTATCGGTAATTTCTACTTCCAATTGCATATATACATATTAATGAGTTGACTGAAGAAAAAGTTTTGAAAGGTCAAAGTCAATTCACAACATAAAATGAAATGTAACTGGAGAGTGTCACAGAGTGAACTGACATCTGAAATATGATTTCTCTTTCTTGCCAAGTGCATTGTCATACGGCCATGTTCAGCTTCAAAAATGTTGCTCAGGTTTTAAACATGTGCTTTGTTAGTGTGCTTTAGTTCAGTATAACAGTAATGTTTCGATGATTTTCTCTGAAATTGAGATCCCTCAGAAACTAATAATTTACCTTATCACATGCCTAAGCAAGATGTTTGCTTGGGATGGTTAGTCTATAAAAGGCAGGGAAGGAAAAGTTAGAAAGCAGGTTTGGCTGGTTCTCCTGGAGTGGTTATAGGTTGGTGGTGGTTAGGGAGGTAGTCTTATGTCAATATTAGGAACATAGTAGATGATATGTTAAGACTTATGTAAAATATGCTCTCTTAGTTTGATGACAAGAAACAGTTAAAATCTGCATGAAAAGAAAGAATAATGAATAATAATTCTAATCTTATCTCAAATGCCATACTTTTACTCTCTGTATCTCTGCCTCTCTCTCTCACTTTTTAACAACTGTATAATGTGTGATGTATGATACTCTTGCATTGTAGATTCGAGAGGGGTTGCATTATAATCCTTACTTTCCTGGTGGTGCAATAGCTATGCCAAAAATGCTGAATGATGGTGCTGTTGAATATGAAGATGGTACCCCAGCTACAGAGGCCCAAGTAACCTTCTTAACTGTCCTGTTGTAAATGATTCTACGAGCTTCACTGGCTAAAAACAAGTGTTCTATACTCTTTTTACAATGTTGGTGCAGATGGGGAAGGATGTGGTGACATTTTTAGCCTGGGCTTCTGAGCCAGAAATGGAAGAGAGAAAACTGGTAAGTAATTTACAAATTTGGATCTTGTTTTCCCCTGTATTGAGGTTGATTTACTACTTGAATTTTCTGCTAATGGTTTATTAAAATGATCATCAACAAGGCACAAGTTTTTACAGTTATACTATATCCCTGACTGTTGGCCTTCGATTCTCTTACATGGATATATCCTGTTTGAAAAGTGAAGATCATCCCATTGGTTGGTTTAAAATCTTATGGATAATGATGATTGAGTTTTGGCATAACTTGCTTATATGATTCTTGCAATAGGAAATATCTACAAAACCTCAGGTTAAGCATGCTCATAGAACTAACTTTTTAGTTTACTGTTTTAAGGTGCAATCCTAATAAATGAATTGAGTAGAGATACTTAGAATCTCTCATCTTGAAGTCTGTGAGACATCTTTTTTTCTTTTTTCTTTTATTTGCCATTTCAATTCTGTTTGAGATACAAGCTGAGGTGGTAGAGCTTTTTGGGAGCTATAAGGTATCTACTTCCTAACTCCGTTTGGTTTGAGATTTTACACAGATGGGTTTTAAGTGGATCTTTGTGCTATCTCTTGCACTGCTCCAAGCAGCTTACTACAGGCGGTTGAAATGGTCAGTTTTAAAGTCCCGAAAATTGGTGCTAGATGTTGTCAATTGATCTCTTTTTTATATGTAATTACTTATTTCTATTTGAGCAGGGATAGATCGGTAATAATTAATTCATTAGACCACCTAGGTTTTATTTGTTCTGTGTTATCAGATGGCTTAGACTGCTAAAATAGTGTGGAGACAGATCTCCTTTGCAGTTATATTCTTTAATAAGGTGAAAAATAAGAGGCTTGTACTACAAACAGAAACGATTATCTTAGCCATTGTTCTATGATGGATAGTTATCCATAAAGCAGCATTTTCCTCTATAATTGTCTCTTGCTTCTCGCTAGTTTACCAAGAAACCTATAGACAACAAGAATTTCAAGAACTCGTTAATGAGAATGTTGTCCATGCACAGAATTGCTGTATTTGAAAGCTTTGAGGCATTGAATTTGGGCAATGACACTCTGAAACTAGGGCTTTATCAAGCCAAATGAATGGAAATAACCCAAAAATCTTTTGACAAAACTCATGGCTTTTGTGATATAATTAGGTTTTCTGGAAGAGTTTATTTATTAGAGATGCTATTACCCCTTTTCTCTCGTCCTCTATTATGTGAGACAACTTTTTACGGTAATCATCGGTGATCTTCGCTGAATTAGCAATTTTAAAATCAGTTTTAAAATTGTGGTCAATTATTGTAGTCAAAATATTACTTTTAAATGTCAAGTTCTTTTTCCTGCAAAAGATCTTGCCAGCAAGACTTGAATTATTGCTAATTGCGAACAGGGCAGCTGTGATGTAAAAAATATTCGATATAATATTTTAAGAAGTTATTGAAATATTCAGGAATATTTAAAAAAGTTTTTATTTTTTTATTGTGTTCAATCAATTTTTGTATTTTTATTTTGAGCAAAATGAGTTTTTATAATTAATAGTTGATTAATTATTTTTAATAAATGTCATTTGTCATTTTATATTATGTGGTGTTGATGTGATATGTTATCATGTTATAACAGATGATGATATGATATAATGATATAATTGTGTAATATTTTTTATTTTTTTTATTAATGTCACGTATGTATAAAATGATATGTAACATTTTGATTAATAATAATTAATCAATTAATTATAAGTGTTTGTTTAATTTAAAATTTAATAAAAAAATTAATTAAATTTTTTAAAATAATTTTATGTTATCTCAAATATTATGTCAAATGTTATTTCTATATGCATTTTTAATATGAAATTTAATTTCCCATGAACTTATTAAATGCATGGAATTATATAGATGGTCAAAAAGTCAACCTTGCAACTTTATAAAAGTTATTATTAAATGCGAAATTCATACACGGATTATTGGTGTAAAGTTTGGAATTAGATTATTGTATCCCCTTCTACCTAGACTTGGTAAATCGTATATGTGTGTTTTAATTATGTCGTGTAAATATGGAATATTAATAGTTATATTAGAAAACATGAATATAATTAAATTTTATAACTATCAGAATTTTAAACACGTGCATAAATATGTTTAATAAACGTATAACACGATACTATTAATATGTTTATTAAACGTGTTAGGTAAAATTTTATACCAAACAGCTCGATTAACATAATTAAAATTTATAAGATTTATGATTTGTTTGCACAATTGATATGATTAACATGATTAAAATGATTAAATTGAAATATGTACAAGTAAAATATGATTATATTATTTAAATTTATAATAAAAATTATAAATATCATAATATTTATCAAATATGATAAAATTTAATATTAATAAATTTAATCATCATAAAAATATTTACATGGATAAATAAATAGTTCTTAATCATATATTAAGCATGTTTATACGATATGTGAATCTAATTAAATAAATGAGTAATAAATCGATTATAGGTTATATGAGTACTTGATAACACGATTAATTAATCGTGTTTCAAATGGGTTATGCGGGTTTAACACAATTAAAACATGATTTATTTGTATTTTAATTGTATGGATACAATTAATACACAAAACACGATTAAATTAAACTCAACCTTGCGTAAACTTATGTTGTGTTCATATTGTCTACAAAATGACTTAGTCTACTCCCATCCCAACACACAAACTATCTCTCCAAGAGTTTCTACCAACTCCAAGAACAAAGAATTGGAATAACCAAGATTACAAGTTTGCGAAATTAGTTTTATGCAGGAACTGATGGATAACCAGGATTAGTACTGATATTCAAGATTACAAGTTTCTCTCCATCAGTACTGACGGATATGTTGGTAGATAGTTATAATAATATGATCTCAAGGTTTATGAAATGGATTCCAAAGAAGAGAAGGCAAATGAAAAAATTTTTTCGTTTAAAACATTTTCTGTTAATTAAAGTAATTTTTTTAATTGAGGTATAAAACATTTTACGTTTTTAAAAATTTTCCCGTTTCCAAATGTTTTCAAAAAAACTTTTCAATGGATCCTCCCAAAGGAAAGACAGGCATGCATCTTGTTAATCCAATCAAATTGAAATCTAACTTCATATTTCTTAGCTATATTATTATTATTATAATTTATATTTTTTAAAGTAGAAACAGTACATTGAATAGTCCCAAGTGGAGAAGGGCTCAACTTAATTTGAAAAAAGAACTGGGCTCATACCATTTAAATTTAATGAAGAAAGATAGACACTTAAAATGTATCATTGGCTGACTCCCTCAGTCAGGCCCCCTTTCCTTTAATTTGTTACTTGAATCCTAACCTCCTAAAACAAGGATTAAACCACCACGTTGTTGCAAAAAGGCCATGCAACTGTTTATAACTGTTCTACCCATGATGCAGTCTTCGGACACTTAGCAGCTTCACATCATCCAACACCGGTCCACACAGAGAGCCCGAGTTATCACTCTTCATGGTGTAAAACGTGCTGTAGAACATTACTCGAGTGCGGCTTGACTCTGCCTTGAATGCAAGTATAGCTCTCTTGAAACCCCCTTTGCCCTTTGATTGATACGACACCTTCACGGTGTTTTTGCCTGCAAAAGCTTCCACCACCATCGAACCTTCACATGCGTTGTTCGCATCACCGACGGCGAATGAGAGGACGTAGCTTCTGCCGATTGTGGTCTTCACCACTTGTGCAAGGGCACTTTCTTTTCCGGCGACGAGTTCGATGGCTCGTTTCCCCTCCGGAACTGAGAAGTGTTCACTGTCAATGTACTTGACGGCTTTCAGGGATTCAATTATCCAGCCTGGAAGAGGACTGTGGTCATCTTCAATGTGGGGTGGAATCAGGACTCCCCAGGAAGTTTTTGGGAAGATGTAGGGGCCTTCTTCGAAATTTCCATTCTTGAGTAGGTTGGCTGCAAATATTTGAATCAAACAAGTTATTCAACCATTATCAATGGTGGGTCCACTTTAAAGATTGGATGTCCTTACCAGGGGTACGTTTGGGAGGGTACAAGGTCTTCAATGCGACAGAGTCAATAAGAGGGCCACAAGCTGCATCCTCTTCCACTCCTGGGTTATGTATTGAAATCTCGATGAGAGGCTCATCAGCCTGAAAAGCCCATGCATACGAATCCCATCCGTTGCTGCTATACATTGTTTGAATTGGGAATAAACCATAGTCATTTTTCTCGTAGTTTGGTGAAACTGACACGTTCAATCGTTCCTCTTGAGCACATGTGCGAGCCGCGCTGAAGGTTAGGGAATAAAACATGCCCTTAATCACCTTCATCTTCTGCTTAATCAGGGCGTCGTTGCCTAACCTCACTGCAAAGTCTCCCTCGGGTACTATCAGCAACATGTCACCCTGTTTTTGACCTGACTTGATATACTCTACAACCCCTGAGATTTCCCAGCTGGGTATAGCCTTGGGGCTCACCACCTTTGTTCCTTTCATTTCTGATGGTTTTGGTCCATACTCGAAGTTCCCATTTGGCACTAAACCTGAAAAGTTTTCAATCGAAACAAGTTTAGATCCATTAGCATTTCATATCTATGGAATCATTTCATATCTATGGAATCAATTAGATCCATTGACATCACATGTTCTGTACAAAAGACCAAGTGAGAAAAGATGGATGGATGACAATTAGTCAGCTTGGACCCACAAAAACATGGCTCAAATTACTTAGACGTGATTTGAAGCAATACATATACATGTATATGACGAAACTGACATGTTAGATTTGGATCGAGATCCTCCAGCTGTCATTGCATGACAAATGTTAATCTGGAAGCTGCGAGGACATGCTCTCATCTCCAGCTTCTTTTATGTCCAAGTGGTGCGGATCGTGAGCATTGATCCAAGGCCAATCAAATGTGTCTACGTGGGACCACAACCACTATCTAGGAAACGATTTTCCTTATGAAAACCAATCCTGACGGTTTGATTTAATGCATGTGGCATGTGTATAAGGTTGAGATTCTCTTTCTAAAGGAAAAGTTGTCTGCTCCACTTTTGCCTATAATATTTATTGCAGTTCATGAATTCAACAACCATGCACATGCACATTCACATCAATGATCAATGTAGTCCTGTGAAAATGACAATTGTTTCTGGGAATTACAATGTTAAATAAATGCAAGTCAATTAAAGGGGGAATGGCATAGTGGTCATTTTGTGAGGACTGATGTCTGCCTCTGCCAGTGCCAATGCATGCTTGTTAGGTGCTATGGAAAACGTGCAAACGGCGAACCGATCTATCTGGGTTTTACGTGGCTGAAGGCGGCACATCTAGATATATATATATAGCATGCAAAT